TGGTTTGTGCCCCTCATGAATTAGCTTTACATTCAAGTCACAGGGCTAAGCATCTGATTTTCAGATAAATAAATACTTGTTGATCTTTTATAAACCCAGAAGGTAATTTAACAACACTTACAGCTGTTCAGAACATTTCCAGGATCCTTTAAAGACTTTTTTAACCCTGTGAATGAATGATTCCAACTGTTGCACAATAAAAACATATTTTGAGAGATATCGCGATTGCGATATGATTCACGATTATTTTCAGAATAATAATTTTTTCATCACAAACTGAAAAAACAATTTAAATTATCATTATGTAAACATTTTGGGGGGGTCTGTACTAAACAAACATGCGCTTAAATCTGGAGAACAAGATATATAGGTCAGGGCAGCACAAAAGTACACACAAATGACCTTTTATTAAAAAATTGCAGCTTCTGCGATTTGGATATCGCACCATATTGTGATTTCGATAATATTATAATTAATTGTGCAGCTCTAGTTTTAACTTATTTCCCAAGTTTTCCAATACGACATCCCTCCCTGCTTTGTACAAGAACCAAAATTAATAATTGTACTATCACATATATTAGTATTTATTAATATTTTTCCAATATTTTATGTTTGTGTGTTTATATTTTCTGTTAACAAAGAGGGCAAGAACATATGTCACTTCTGGCTATCCACATCAAAAAAATTTGTTGGAAGTGTTGTTTGGGAAACAGGTTAAAAATATTTTATTGAGCAGCAGAAATAATATTTTTTCATCCAGATGTTTTGAGGAGTCTTTGAATATACAGTTAAATGACCCACTCAGGTTTTTAAACATAGAGTAGTATTTCTTTTTCAGAAAATGTAATGCTTGGCTCTGTGACGCAGATGTGAAGAACTGTATTTTACACGATTTTTAACACAACTTTCACATGTTGATTTTTGTTTATCTGATCACATCTCATGTTGTTCTCAAAGAGCTGAACAAACATTACTCTCAATGAATGAAAAAGAAAAAAAATGCTTTGGACCAGAAAGGATGAAAGGAGAGAAAGAGAATGTGAGGTAATCAGAGTGGGATACAGGAGAGAGAGAAACATTAAGAAAGAGATTAAGCAGGAGAAAAGTGTGGGAGTGAGAGAGAGAGAGAGAGAGAGATAGAGAGAGGGAGAGACGGAGGGAGTCAGAGTAGAGAGGAAGAGGAGAGGGAGGAGGGTGGGATGGCTGCTCATCAGAGTTAATGATGTAGAAAATCCCCCAATTAGAGCGTTTTCCTGTGTTGCAGGATGAGTTCAGAACGGGGCCCTCTGACAGCCTGAGGATTAGTACCCGGGCCGGGCCGGGCCGAGCTGGGCCTGAACAGACACTAACTAACTGCTGGACAGCTTGGCACTGCTCAGCTGGGGCTGGGTCGGGGCTATAGCCACAGCCAGGGGCCGGGGTAGGCATGCGTTTAGCCAGAGTGAGTGGCACAAAGAAAAGCATGGGAAAAAGAGCAGCGACACATCAACATGGAAAAAAAAAGTTCTGGTGGACAGTTTTTCTCAGATTTATTCAAATGTGAGTCAAATAAGACTTTAGCTGAGCTTTTTTTTAAAATGTACCCATTTTCTAAAGATATTGACCCTTTTTAAGACCCTTTTGGGTCAACCTATCCAGGCTCGTCTATGTTAAAAAGATGAATTTAGAAGGTGGTTAAAAGATAAAAGCTTGCAGAACTCTAGCTAAGTAGATTTTTTTAACCATCTTAAAACTGTGGTTGTCTTTTCAACATAGGCAAGCAGCATATCTAAGCACAGGAAAGAAGAAAAGGGACTGAGGTTCTGGCCCAGACTCGCTCAACTGATACTGGACCACAGAGCAAAAGGGCCTTAAAAAAGCCCAATTGGGTACTAATATATGACGTTAACATTATCTCAGCTCAATGTTTCTGATGATGCATCTATTTTGTAACAGCATTACATCCAAAACATAACCTAATCTGATCCGGACATCTGGATTGTACAAAAAATCAATCTTTCCACACACTGCTTCATGTCGAACAATAAATCACGAGATGGCGAAAATCCTGAGTCTTCTGGTAGTAAGAAGACTCAGAGTCTTTAATCCTCCCGACCTGGTAATTGGGACAGTAAATCTGACTATCAATCTGTCTCTCTTCACACAACCATGAGGTGATTCCTGTTGAAATATAACCAATAAAAGCTCTTTGCCCTTCATAAGATATTTACCTACAAGTGGGAGAAGCAAACAAACACATAAAGGCACAGATATAGAGACTTGTATTTGACAGAGAGCATGTCACATCAATCAGTCTAGACCTTGTGGACACATACAGTGTGGCACATATTCTGAATGCAAGGTCTACATACTTAGCTATTACAGCTCTTGACTGTATCCCATGACCTTAGCTATGACTGTCTATAGATTTGACCTGAATTCTTTGACCAAAAATAACAACAAAACAAGCTTTAGACATACCTTCACTGCTTTGATTATTAGGCCTTTGCATTGAAACAAGTGGGTATCAGCTATGTAGAAAACACTAGTAACGCAGCTTCAAACGCAGCTTCATTCAAATGCTGTGTCATTTTAAGATTCGGTGACTGGAAACAGCAAGAAAAAAGTTCTTGTAAAGCTCTTAAAAATCCCAAAGTAATTCAAATATGAGCTAAATGTAGTTATTATAGTTGGAAGTTACTCTGTTTTGTTTTCATTTCTGAAAAACTGGAAATAGCATTTAAATTTGCATATAAAGACTTGAGATGTAATCTGGACTATAGTCCCAAAAACCTAAAAACGACTGCAAATAAGTGAAGAAATGACATGTAGCCTGGTAATTATAGGAGCAGAGTAATATTGTTATAAAGCAAGAAATCAATTCCAGCATTTGCACATTTTCCTGTTTTTCCACTGTCAAACTGTAAAGGTCACAGAAATTAAGGTGTCAGTCTTCAAAGTTAAAGGTTGTTGAGTAAAGTGCAAATAGGAAGACAAGTGAGGAAGCCCTAACTCAGCTCTGCTACAGAGTTACTGTGTTCATTAAGAACAACTGAGTCCCTAATGATTAATTGATTAATTGTGCAGTCTATTATTTCGCTCCCGCACCCCAGTAGATCTGAAAGGGCCACGGCTGGAGTTAACAGTCTTATTGGAAAGACGCGTTCCTTGCAAAGGACAATAAGGGAAAATAGCGGAATTAATTGGGTTTGATTAAGAGAGCTTTTCAATGGGACACAGCTTTTTCGCATGACATAATTAGAGGTCAGTTGGGGTGGGAGGTGGAAGGGGGGATTTGCTCGTTGGCGCCACTGATGTGTGGGTGTGTCTGTGACAGAGACAGACAGACAGACACAGAGAGAGAGAAAGAGAGAGAGAGAGAAAGAGAGACGGGGTGCTTCCTTCACACTTGTAGAGCTATGTTGTGTGTCCGATGTGGTACATTTCAATTGGCTCACTCACCAGAAAGCACACAGTGAAGTTCACATGGGGCCCTCTGAGTGCTCAGTGTGGGATTATTATCACTACACTGCCAGCATTAAAGGCACAGTGCTCAGTCTTTTGTTATAGCTACACGCTCATTAGCAGTGCACTACATTATTGTACAGCACAGGGCGGTGACAGAAGAGTACATTCAGCAGTGTTTTTGGATGAGAGCAAAACATCTAAACAAACTCAAAACATTTATTACAGACACAGACATTATGAATTTATAATCCTGTTGCAGTATAATCTAAAATAGGAGGCCATCAGATCTAAAAATACATCTGAACTGTCATGAACCAAAACCAGGCTTCACGCCTGATTAGATTATCAAGTCTTTCATCACAAGCCTGCAGAACGGCCGTGATTTCACTGTTCTCTGTTTTACTGGGATTTTGGAAAAATAATGAGCCCAAAACTGTTCAGAGGAGTCAATCTTTAATCCTGCAGACATGGAAACGTGTTCTTTACTTCACAAAATAGTCAGACAAAGTGGAAGGAGAATCTCTCCTGTGGGCATCACATTATATTAGTTACTACTTTTGTCACTGCACTAGGATTCCCCCTGCATGGGATCAATCAAGTCTCATCACATTGTGTTTATGTATTTACATATTTTTACATTTGTTTGCTGTTGTTAATAAACTCACAAACAGATCAATGTGTGTTTCAAGGTACGTGTTTTGATTGTAGCATAAAAGGAATGTGTGTTCGTCAGACTGCAGGCAATTATTAAAATAAGTTAATTTAGGAAAAGACAAGCTTAGGCTGGTTTAGAAGGATTTGAAACAGATACACCGTGTTTGAATGTACTTATTCCCATTTTATGTTACTTTATGGATCTATTCCACTACATTTTTAGAGGCAAATATACTCCACAACATGTGTTTGACAGCTTTAGGACTATTTACTTTGCAGATTTAGATTATTAATATAAAATTAAATTTAAAAAAATAATACATTGTGATGTCTTATCAGAGTTTAGACTGTAGTGTGGATCTTTTAAGTAAAATATGTGAATACATCCAGCACAGAGGGACAGTAAAAGTCTAAAGCAGTGCACTCCTGCCTCCAGAGGGTCCTGGAGGGTTTGAACATAGATCTAGCACGCCCTCTATGTTTGATACTTGCACATCACAGGGAACTCACCTCACCCATATTACTGCACAATAGCATACAGTATATTCACTTGTGTGTTAAGTTAAACAGTTTGATCTACACCAGAGGTCCAAAACATGTTTCATATAGTTAAATTACTTCCAGTTAACTAATATTAAATGTTTGATTTGATCTTTTTACTGTTTATAAGTGTATATAGTAAGTGGGAAAGTACAGTTTAGGACACATTATAGTGTTGTCTCTCGTATGATACACTTATAAAGACCTCCATCTCTTACTTACCCACAAACCCCCCCCCCATATTTAATCGATGTAAGTCCTTCTCGTCCAATGGCAACAAACAAATGAAGCATTTCCGTGTTTTGATTTGAGAGGCACACGTCACGGGGGTGTCAAAAATCCCACAATGCACTGCAATTGTCACCCCTCCCCTCCTCCACCACAAGCTAAACTGAATTAATATTATATACATCTGAGAGTGAATAACTTTAAATATATCGCTTAGTTTCATCCGCTGTCTCCCACAGCTGTTGTTGCTGTCCGGCCCGTGTGTGTGCGCTGATATTCAGGCCTGTCGCTGTTGTATGTAACGTTGTGTTTGTTTATAATATCAGCAGGTTAGCCACTAGCTAGATAGGATAGTTAACGCTGGGTGTCATTAGGTAGCTCTAGTTTTTTTAGTACAAACATGAATGTAAAGCAGTCGTTTGATGGCATTGAGTTAACTACAAACAGGGTTTTTTTCTTCAATGTAATTTGTTGCTTTGAAGTGGTTGAAAGTTAGTCGATCCGTAACGGAATTAACTGCTAGCTAGTTCATCTGTTTTCCTTTAAATCTAACTTAGCGTTTAGTTTAAGAGTTATTACACTGAATGTTTTATATTATATTCTGTAATCAGGGGGTGTTTCTAGCAGGAGAAGCAGGTTAACTGTAAAAAGTGCGCTGAGATATGTGAAAGGTCGTTTTATGTTTTCTATCGACAGCATCAAGACAGACCTAACTTTCTGGTTCCACATGTTTAAATCACTTTTTTTTTCAGAATATTGTATAAGATAACTTTCTAACCCCGCATTATGGGATACCTTCCATAATACAAGTGTAAACAGCATCAAACAAAGTCACAATAACATTTTAACTGAACTCAACGATTCACTTTAAATGTATTATTAATCAGCTTTTTGTGTTGTTCTCTGTTTTTGCACTACTTTGCCCTGTTGCTGCTGTGTCAACCTGAATTTCTCCTAAGGGGGATAAATAAAGGAATATCTTATCTTATCTTGGCCAGGTCTTCAACCTCCCGGCCTGTGGCTGTGGGATCAGGATTTCAGTTTAGGATGGATCCAGAATATGAACATCGCCTCCTCCGCCAAATCAACATTCAAAATGACAACTTTAGCCCTGTTGTGAGTCGTTTCTTTCCCCTCTCCGCTGTTTTTCTTTGTTCCTTAATAATGTAACTGTTGTTCATTAACACTGAACAATGACATGAGAGAAGTAGAAAAGTGACCAAACTTCCTTAAATTCATGAACAAATACACTTTAAGATCATTTGTTTTTTTCAGAAACTGACACAGAGTCAGCACGGTCGGACACCCACCTGCTCCCCGTTATCGTCACCCAGTAAACTTGGAGACAGATTCATACCGACCAGAGCGGGAGCGAACTGGAATATCAACTTCCACAGAATAAATGTATGTAACATTTTGTGGGTACATTTGTTGAGGAGTGTATCTGTGCTTTGCAAGAGAAAAGTATTATTTGTGTGTATTAAAAAAAACCCTTTGGTGAAGTTGACTACTATATGAATGTTCTGTCTGAGGGAAGTTTGTGTCTCAATTTAATGACAGTATCTATGTGATTTTCAGGAAAATGAGAAGTCACCAAGTCAGAACAGAAAAACAAAGGATGCCTCTACTGATAATATCAAAGGTAAAAACATTTTGTAAAAGTTCTTTTGGAAATGGACCTTTGTGCACCAAGGATTGTAGTTTGGTGCTCATGTATACATTATATTTGTGCACATGTAGCAGATGGGCTGGCCTACTCTGCTTTGCTGAAAAATGAGCTGCTGGGAGCAGGAATAGAAAAGATCCAAGACCCCCAGACAGAAGACCGGCGTCTACAGCCATCAACCCCAGAAAAGAGAAGTCTCTTCACTGTATGAACATTTCATCTCATACCTCTTATATATTGAATTAAACAGCACATTGATCATACAATGTCAGAACAGACACACATACAATATGCTCTCTGAGTCTTGAGTAGGGGTAAAAAACTAATTAAAATAATAGAACATTACTGTTCAGTCAACGTATCCTACAGTTTTTCTTCAGTATTTGTTATTTTAATGAAGCTGGTAGAGAATATAATGGTTTCTGCCTGTGTGTTCTTTGCAGTATTCACTAAATACCAAAGGGTCGTCACCAGACAATGGTACTAACATCTCCCCGTACTCTCTATCACCTGTCAGCAACAAAAGGTAGAAGCAAAATGTTGTTTTTAGATCTCTTATTGTTGATCACTGCAAACAAAGAAACTCATAATGTCCAACTTTTCCTGTTGCAGTCAGAAATTGCTGCGTTCACCAAGAAAGCCAACTCGCAAGATCTCAAAGATACCTTTTAAAGTCCTGGATGCTCCAGAGCTACAGGATGACTTTTACCTGAACTTGGTGGACTGGTCGTCTCTCAACGTGCTCAGTGTCGGGCTGGGTACATGTGTTTACCTGTGGAGTGCCTGTACCAGCCAGGTAGGTTAGAGTGTTTACAAAACTCATTTTGGAACATGAATTTGAATTGTTTGATGTGTATGAATTGTCTTTTCCTCAGGTAACAAGGCTGTGTGATTTATCAGTGGAAGGAGACTCAGTCACGTCAGTCGGGTGGTCTGAAAGGGTAAGTACACATAGCTTACTGCCCCAGGAAACTGTCACTTTTGATACAGTCATTTTTTGTTAATGAAAGGGTTCTTTGTGTTTTTAGGGTAACCTGGTGGCAGTGGGGACTCACAAAGGCTATGTTCAGATCTGGGACGCTGGTGCTGGGAAGAAACTCTTTGCCCTGGAAGGACACACAGCTAGAGTTGGTGAGAACATTTGCTCTGTTTAAACTCTCAACATGGGTTATTATACTCAATTCACAATAAAAAACAAAAACAAAAGACCTGACAACTAACAACCAGCATTAAGCTGAATTAAATCTTAACATTCTTGATGGTCTCCTATCAATCAAAATATTTCATTATAGTCAAATGTTGAGAGTGTGACCAAACATAAACTAAGCTTTCCTCTGTCCGCAGGAGCGTTGGCATGGAATGCTGACCAGTTGTCATCGGGAAGCCGCGATCGTATGATTCTTCAAAGAGATGTGCGGACCCCTCCACTTCAGTCAGAGAGACGGCTGCAGGGTCACAGACAGGAAGTGTGTGGCTTAAAGTGGAGCACTGACCATCAGTTGCTCGCTTCTGGTGGCAATGACAACAAGGTACAGTTGTTACTGTTATTAATCCTACCTCTGTCTTTCTGCTTGTACTCGTTGTATTTACTGATGTGGCTGTTATTTGTCATCTCAGCTGCTGGTTTGGAACCACTCCTCGCTGAGCCCAGTACAAACTTACACGGATCACCTGGCTGCAGTGAAAGCCATCGCCTGGTCCCCCCACCAGCACGGCCTGCTGGCCTCGGGGGGCGGCACTGCCGACCGCTGTATCCGATTTTGGAACACCCTCACCTCACAGCCGCTGCAGTGTATGGACACCGGCTCTCAGGTCTGCAACCTGGCCTGGTCCAAACATGCTAATGAGCTGGTAAGTGAGTCCAGATACACACTGTGCACAATTAATTTGTTGGCTACATGCTATGACGATATAAAGAAACATCTGTCATGAAGGTAACACTTGCTTTCAGAATAAGGTGTTACATGGTGTGTTGACACAATGCCTGTAAAAAAAGCTGGTGGTGATAATTTGGAAGTGTTATAGTATATGGAGTGAATATATGGGCAATTTATTATTCAATGTTATACATTTGTAGTTACTTTATATCAGTTTGCAGAGATTTCTCACAGACATTATTAATTGTGAATCGGCCCAACTCACTGACATCGCCTGTGTTTCTCAGAATCAAGACAACATATGGGATGATGTATCTACACTGTTTCCATATTTACATGTGAGATACTTTGGAAAATGCACCTGTTTACACCGGAAGAAGTGTTGTCTCTTTCTTTTTATATCTTTGGCACACAATGTACGTAATGCATTGTTGAGGCCAGTCTGTCATCTCTGAGAAGATGGTTTTGTTTGCAGTAATAAACTGAACTTAATTTGTTTATGGTGGCTTACACAAAACCCCCTTCTGAATTGTAATAATGCCTCTTTCTGCAGGTGAGCACTCACGGCTACTCTCAGAACCAGATCTTGGTGTGGAAATATCCCGCTCTCACTCAGGTTGCCAAACTCACAGGACACTCTTACAGAGTGCTCTACCTGGTCAGTGTGTGTTTTCTTTCTGATGAGAATGTGATCTTGCTGTTGGTCATGTTAAGCTGGTCAGATTTATTTAATGTTTTTTAACATTAGGCCATGTCCCCGGATGGTGAGGCAATAGTAACAGGAGCTGGAGATGAGACCCTACGCTTCTGGAACGTATTCAGTAAAACAAGATCAACAAAGGTGAGAAAGCACTTTTTGGTAACAGCTTTGTGTAATTACCCTCCCCTCACATATCTGCAAAACAATTAACCAAATGCCTTTACTTTTTGTTTCAGGAATCTGTATCAGTTTTAAATCTCTTCACCAGAATACGATAACTTAAAACAAATATTAAAACTCTAAAACTCTAATTTGAGTGGAATCTGGTGTCACCACTGGGTAGCTCATCAACATGGTGCTAAGGACACACAGTACAAGCTAAGGCATCTTGTGACATTTTTCACAGAGCAAATGGCAGTGACAGCAACTGAGCAAGTTTTTTCATGCTAACAATTGTTTGGGGAATTCTTTTTGACTTTTTAAAAGAAATGTATAAGTGGAGTGAAGAAATCATAGGCCTTAAAAAAATATTGTGACACAATTTTCTTTGTTGTGTAATCTGAAATGTGGGGAGAGCATTTTTAATTTTTGTTTAACTCAGGTCTTATTTATTTAATGCTGCAGTGGCCTCAGTGGAGAAAAATGCCATCACATATTATGACTAAAACATAGAAACTGAACATAATCACCTACTAAGGCCTTTATAGTACAGTGCGTCATGTGAACCTTAGAGTACTAAGGTTGAGAGTGGTTGGCTGAAATAATGCAGTTTGGCTCCTGTGGACAGAAAGTCTAATGCTGTGCATCTAGACATATACTACATGGTGGATTCTTTGTAGTAAAGGAAGAAATAAAAGATGGAACTGAAGAACCGGTGTCTGACTTAGTATATATTTTCTTTGTGGCATTACAAATACCATACTGTTTTCTTTTGGGCTAAATTTAGCTCAGTTGCACTTTAGTTGTTGGATTACATTTTGTAATTCTGTTTTTTGAAAGTATGATTGTATAAAGTCTGTTCGGCTTGTCGTCAGTAAGATATTTCCTTTTTAAGTGGTGTGATTTTGTTTGATACAACATTTAACATGCTTGAATTGTGTTTATTTCACCATTTTATTCAATATCATGTAGTTTAATCGACTATTTACAGAAACAGTGGTCAGTTTACCATTTTTTATTTACAAGATTACAAGGTTATTTAATCGTGACAACGCAGGATTGTATAATGAAATGATTTCAGTTTATTCAAGACAGGGGAACAGTAACGTTACATACATACTAACAAAAGTGATCATACCATTAATTTTCATTGAAAAATAAAGTTGAATCAACAAATCCATGTATGTTTTATTTTTGTGTATGCAAAAGTATACATTTGGTGCCACTTTCAAGCAGTTAATAAAACTACATCCATAAGACTTCTCAATAAATAAAAACAACAACAAAAACAAACACCCGTAACACTGCGTATCCATGGCAACAACCGGCTACAACCGGCGGCGGCGCTGCCTCGGCGGATATGCTAACCGGAAGTGCCGTGAACGGGCGGGAAGTTGAAAGTTTGATAATTTCAGATAATAAAAAAACCAAAACAAAAAACAATTCCGTTACCAAGTTAAGTTACCGTGTGTTAAAGTAGAGCCGCAGCTTCCACGGAGCAGAGTGTAGGGAGTAACATCAGCTACGTTAACGGTACCTACCCGACCCGGGCAGCGGCTGTCGGTGTCGCTAGCTGACGTTAGCTCGCTCGGCTACAAGTTGTTTACTGTCTGTTGTCTGTCAGGATGGCGGACAGAAATCTTGTGCAGGAGTTGAAACGATGGGCGACAGAGGAGTTCAATCTGCCTCCGGACAGCTTGCCGAATGACAGCTATTTTAAAACGTGGGTATCAACTCTATTCTTTCCATATTGTCACTTAATAATAATGAGCTACTAATCATAAAAGGTGCTCATAGAGGATGCTTACTTTGAACAAGTGTTAAGCTCATGATCATTTATTTTCCAGACTCTGTGTCGGGACGGGGAAGTCAATATGGAAATATGTCATCCAACACGTCTTTCAACAGAGGTTAGTCTTTACACTGCCTTCCTTATATGTAACTTATCTATGGTTTGTAGTACTGCTGAGTTCTTCTTTCATGTGATCCCAGAACACAGTCTGTCCCTATTTGTCTGGTCAAATAAAGAGCATCATAGCATCTGATAAAGTGGATTGGTCTGTAAAATAAACTGCAGTCTCTCTGTGCACTCTTCGACTGAGCAGATGAGCAAATAATGGATTACAGCTTCTTGACCTTTTTCTGTGTTTTCCCAGGAATGTGAGGATCATGCGTGGCAATCTCCAGTGGTATCCTTTCTGACCCTCATTGAGGATTTTAAAGCCACCATTGTCTTAGCAGCTTTATGTGACCATTTTAGTCTTATTAAGGTAGACGAGCTCAAGACCCTGGTCGTCCCTAGCTCGATCCCTTGCTGTGTTGTCCCCACAATAATTTTAAATATGCCCTTGGTTTCATTCATTGTACACTGAAGTTTCTCAGCTACCATGACCACTGTGTTTTATCCCTTCATTTCCTTAACATTATGATCTTTAAGGTACAAAGTTCTTCAAGACAAAGAGGTAAGCTTGTTTTCCTTCCTCGTGGTTTCTATTTCATTTAATCTTGAGTGATCATACTAATAATAACAATTTGACGTTTTTAATTTCAGTTAGAAAGCCACTGATAAAGTGAAATGGATTTTTATCTGCTGGTGTTTTTGCATGCTCAGTTGAAGCAGGCGGATGGCCAGAGTGAGGCTGCTAAGCAGAGAGAACTTCAGAGGAAGATCGAGCAACTGAGAGCTGAGATCAGTCACCTGGACTCTCAGATCAGTGGAACAGACGAACAGTCGGCTACTCAAGGTTAGTCCATCACATGCCGTTAGGGACTGGGTACGTGATCAGACCACATTCTCGTTTAGCAGATGCTGTGGTCAGAAGGCAGAAAGCCAGCTCATTGCTGTCGTTTGCTTTGCGTCCATAGTTCAGCGATATGTAAAGTCTCTATTTTACTAACAGAGCGGTCCATCAGCCGTACCTGGGCTCAGGTGGAGGACAGCCAGCGCAGAGAGCTGCTTCTTCAGGCCTTCAGGCAGCGCTGCATCTTGGGCCGCCAGGTGCTCGCTGATGACACACAAAAGATCTCTGAGCACTGCCAGGCGTTAGAACAAATGGCCAGGTAAGGCAGAACATTGAAAGTATAAGTCAAATAAAAACAAATAAAGCTGGAGTTTATTCACTCGTACTAATAAAGTACTGAATTGTATTGTGTGTTGCAGGAAAGCTGAGATTGAAGTGCTGTTTGATAATAAACCTTCCAGCGGCAGTGATGGTGACAACCTCAACTCCAAAGCTGCAGCAGAGGCACAGGTCCTGGTAAGAGCAGCCTCGATCTGGTGTTTAGAGGGTACTTCATCTGGCCTATGCTGTGTCAGTGTATTGCAGCTTTTATTTAATAATAATAATAAAGAGTTAATAGGCCAACTGACAAAAACGCTACAGTAGTTGTGTCCAGAATCACTCCCTATTAACTATATAGTTAACTACATTTACCCTCCATCGTCAGCGTCAAGAGTGTGAAATTCATGCGATATGTACAACCTTATATATTCCCTCGATGGAATAAACAAAGGACCGTCCATGGCATGTACACCTTGTTCTGCTAACAATCCTATAATCCAGTGCTCTGAAGTTATGTGACTACATTTGTCGATAATGTCCGAAATCTCAATTTACAGTTCACTATAGAGTAAACAACTGGCTATATACAGTATTATATAGGGAGTAATAATGAATTAGTGAGGGAAGGAGTGATCCTGGAGACACAGTTGATGGATTATGTTACGTATGCTACGCCATCTTGAGAGTAATTTCATGGTACTACAGCTGGTAGACACACTTTGCTGCTCCTTTGCCACCTGTTTAAAAAAAGAAAATATACCAGTTGATCTGCAATTATTCACACAAATCTCATTGTAGACCAAGCTGTCTGTATTACATCAGCCGCTGACTGAAGGTAATCATAACATTTGTTTTATTTTTCCTGTTAGCGCGAAGTGAGAGAGCTGTGTGACGACAGGCTCCACTTCTATCAGTCTTTACAGGAGAGTGAGCTGAAAACGGGACACTCTGCAGCCAAACAGTAAGGACTATAGTGAATACAGTATTTGAGAAAACAACTATTAAAAAAAACTGTTCTTCTTTCTTGAATCTTTAATCCCTCTCTATTTGTTTCCTGTCAGTATGACTCGTGAACAAAGGACTGCTGTGTTTCAGTACTGGCTCAGTGCTGTGGAGGTAGTGTATGTTGATCAAATCTCAATAAATATTTTGTTACTTGTTTATATATTTTACTTTTTGCTTTGAATTAACGTGTTGTTGCTTGTCATCAGAACCTGTTGGGTTGTTATCCTCCAAACCACGTCCTATCAGCATTGGAGTATTTAGCCTCCAGAGAGCAGAAGGAACTAGAGGACAAACTCACCTCTCTGGATGTGACACAGGATGTGACGGCTCTACGGTAAACTTCAACATTATTATAATGTTCTCTCGTCCTTCAAGACTATAACAACAACAACTTTTTAGTGTTAAAGTAATTTATCTTGCTTTTTAATTGCAGGTTCCGCTATGAAAGCAATCACCTACTGGACATGTCAGCAGAAGAGGATAATGAGTTGCCATCGGTTAAGACCCTCTTAGAGGTGCTAAACACATGTGTACACTATCATATGATATTTAGGAAGTTCATGGTAGAAGAAAACGTGCTCATTGCACATGTTTGTTGTTCCAGGCTGCTTGGGAAGAGGTGGAGCAGAGTTTGGTGGAACTGGCCCAGACCCGCTCCAGAGTCCAGCAGCTCCGAAACCAGCTGCAGGCCCGCAAGAAGGAGGCTGAGCTGGAGGTGTCTGGTATTGCAGATGATCTCCACAATGATACCTCGGCACTGTAAGATGACTCACTAATGTGGAGTTAATTGATGAGGTTCACACAAGTGTATTGTCCCCTTTGTAGTAGGAGATCATTGTGCAGACTGAACAGACTTTCCTTTTCTTCTGTAATAATTCCTTTTGCGTTTGCAATAAATTTGTTGCAAACACAAAGAACTAATGTGATCTCAAGTGCAAAACTTGTTTTGTCTTTGTTGCTGTCAGGTCAGCTCTAGAGGTGGAACTCCAGTGTGTTATGCAGGCTGCAGCCAGGGATCATATCAGAGATCGTTGTATCCAACTTGACCATCATGCCAGAAGCCGACAGGAGGCACTTAGGAACCTCCGCAGCCAGTGGCAGAGCATCCTTGACTTCAGACAACTAGTGGTGAGAGTGATTTGACCATAACATGTGCTACTGTCACTCTTAAAAATATATCTGTATTATTATATATTATAATGTCTGTCTAGAGGATTGGTGTGATATGTGTGCTGTTAACTGTCTGGAGATAAACATCTTGATTTGCCAAACCTTTATGAATTTGCAGTAGGTGTCATTATTTCTCCAGCATATCATTAAAATAAGTTCTGTTGTTGTATCTCTCCAGGTTCTCAGACAGGAGCATATCAGAGGTCTGATTAAGGGGAACTCCACAGCCAAGACGGAGCTGATCCGTCTGCACACAGAGGTGTGGATGTTCTCCATCTATGACACTGAAGTAGAGAGATTATAAGATTTGCTTCATTCTGTAGTAAAGTAACTGTTTTGGGCTTTTTAAACTAATAAACGTTTTCCACAAGAAAACAAAAAAGTTTTGAACATCTCTTGAAGATTTCTATTCCTCTGTCTTGTTTCAGTTACAGGACTTCGTCCAGGACAAACTGGTGCCGCAGTTTGAAGATGTCACCACTGCAGCCACCAGTCTAAGGAACTTGATTTCCAAAGAGGCCAGACAGTTAGGGACGGTTTCGCTTCTTGCTCTGGACTGTAGGACTGTTGAAGGGTAAGAACAAGTTGCTTGATACATGAAGGGCTAAACCTCAGTCAGATTAGTAGTAACCAATGAAGTTCTGTTTTGGTAAAATATGTATTTGGAAATTAATCAGTTGAGTTTTGTTGCATTGCATGATCAACTACAAATTCAGAGGGAAGGAGATGAGAAAAGAAATGATCCTACTCCAGTGATTAACCTGTGGCTCCATTGAAAGTGTATTACAAGAAGAGACATTTTTAATCGCACTATTGATCAAGTGGTGACAGTTGCTGCACAGAATTAGAGATGTGACATTTTTTCTGTTGTTTCAGATTGCAAAGAGTCCCGGCATCGTGGTTGTCCATCCATCGCTTGCAGTCGCCGACCTTCAGCAGCTTGTGTCAGAGCCTGGCATTCCCACTGTACAGGGTGAGTCTGGAAATATAAAGCATCAATCTGTTGTAACAGAAGTGAGATCTCCTCTTTGATCTATATGCTTGTCAGTCCTTGGGTTAAGTCTGTTTGATTCATAATTCAGTGGTTGATAATTCAGTTCAAAAGCAATTTAGTAACTATTAGTTATGATCCTATAATTGTTAAACTTACGGAATAATGCAAGAGAAAATTATCATTCTTTTTTTTATGGTAAAAAATCTCAATCGAATCAAATAAAAGAGCAGTAATGGGCATTTTAGACATTCTGAAAAAGTCTACAGTGTTGAATTACTTAACAAAAAAATACCATAAAATGGTGTTATCAAAGCAGCAGAACAACTTCACATAGAATTTAAGATCGAATAGCATTTATACTAAAAATCAAACAAAAGAAATAGTAGTTTGATACAAAGTGTGTCCATTCCTTAATTGTGATATCACACCACTCGTCTTGACAGTGTGAATGTTGTACTGTGTGTTCGTTTTCACATCTTTTGGAAGAACTTTAGAGTTTTTATAAGAATCTAACATGGTAACTATACTCTATACAAATGTATTATAACTTTCTTAATGACATTTTGATAAGTACTTTTGCATGTGAAGTTTGCCTGTGGACACTCGTGGCATTCCTATAAAAGTTGTGCCAGCAGCTCATAGAGTTCCCACTGCTGCTTAAACTCCACATGCCCAGAGTGGTTTGGATTAAACAGCTGACTGTAACCAACATAGTTAGACCCCAGTCCTCTTATCGGCAGAGCTGATAAAAATAATATCCATGAAAATCAGTTTCACTGCACAGAGGTAAAACACCAGCAGCCCTTTTAGACATTTCTGTTAGTCTTACAAACACTCAGCTGGTTTTTGCTTTGTTAAAATATGAACTTTATTTATGGAATTTCTCCTCCTTTGCCTTTTTCACTGACTGTGACACAAACATGTTTTACTCCTTCTTACACTTCAGGCTCCAGAGGAGTTGTGTTCCCAGACACGCTCCCAGCAGCTTGAGCTGCGTTTTCTCCGTCAGTTACTGCAACTTCACTCTGCTACTCTGCAGAAGATACAGAAGGAAGCAGAACAGCTGCATGCATCTGATCAAAAAGGTAAAAGAACAAAACAACTGACACTTGAAATACACTTATGTTTTGTATTTGGCTGTTTGTTCACATGCTGTATAGGATGAAGAATTTATGTTCCCCGGGCAAAAAGAAGTGTGAAGAATTTTTATCAATTTCAGCAACAACAAAACTACTGTTTGTTTGTCTACACTATGCCTCTTAGCTCTGCTGTCCAGAGTCATGGAGGAGGATCAGAAGCTTCTGAAGACTCTGGTACCAAGAGTCAGAGGCCTCACGCAACGCTGTGCCCAAGGCCTTTCTTATGGGGTCCAAGTCAAAACTGCCATCTCTTACTGGTGAGGAACATTTCTAAAGTGCATGTAGCATTTTATTGTATGTCTCTAGTTTCCTTTCAGATGTCCATGAAAGGAGAATTCTTCTTTTCAATCTGGGTCTGCAGGTATTTTACAGATTCACCACATTCCCATCGGTTCACATTTTACCAGCCAGCTACATTGCTGAGATCTGCACACGACCCCTCTAGACACATCTTTACAGTGGAGTGCATTAGTGCATGCAGCTTAAGTTGTCATGCAGGTTTTTCTAACACGTCTGCTGTCTTACTGTGTTAACAAAAAACCACACATGCAAGTGAAAATGAAAGTGATTGTGACAAGTTATCACTAAAACATCAAATCTATTATTTTTCCAAGAACTACTTCCTGTTTCAACTTGAATATAATACTTACATTTACTGTCTGCATATGATGTGTTTGCTTTCCAAATAAGTGGTTTAGATAAATGTGTTTTACTGAATTTGAAAACTACATTCTGCTGTTAAATGATTGAGCATTTTTTATTTGCATTGGAAATCAATGTATTTTATGTGATTCTTTTGTGATAATGAGATATTTTGACATCAAAATACTCAATTAAACATCTTAAATGACAGGAGTTAGGCTATAAAACTATGAAAAGGAGACCCTGTGTGTTTTCCTTCATGGTTCAACCTTGGTCAGTCTGGATTGCTGGTTAACTTTTTATGTTGTGTGTTCTTGTATCTAGGTGGGAGAAGCCGGCCCAACATGTCCTACCGGAGGTCAGTAAAGGAGGACTGACTTATCAACAGTGGCTACAGAGGTGGAGACTTGCTGCCAAAGCCTCGTAGTTCAATGAATATAAAGGAGATCCATCACAGCACCTTTCAGTGGCAAACTGACCATGCTACAGTAGTTATAAAATGCACATATAGCTATAACTAAATCACAGTTCTGTTTTTTTTTATTCTCATTACTCCTGTTGATGTTTTACCATGTGAAAGTCAGTCACTAATAAATCATTTTAAATCCAGTTATTTGCTTGTGTCGTCCTTGAAATGCACTCAGAAATACAATAAAGTTGTCGGAGAAGCTGCCCCCCTCTCTCTCTCTCTCTCTCTTTCTCTTGTATTGAACAAGCTGAATGGGTGCTGCGTTTCGCTCATGTGCCCGCGGAATGAGCGGCAGATACCTATCAATAGCCCCCAGTATTGATCTGCCCCCAGTGCCCCAGTGTACCGTGGATCTTGTAGTTGTGGGTACGGTGTGAACTATGTAGCTATCGTTTTGCACGGAGTAACATTGCTCCTTTGTAGCAGTGAAGGGGGAGTGGAGCAATCTGATTCTTGTGAACTCAGCTCCTCCCATTGTTGCGGCTGCGCAGTTCAATCTTTTTTTCTCAATTTTTCACTCCTACTCTGGCTTCCGGACGCCAAGACAGACCGCTGCCGCCGAATTTAAAGAGACAGGCGATAGTTATTTTAAATACGATAAACGGCAACCATTGTCCCTTAGCTTATTTCCCGACGCTTCTTGCCCGAGCTTGTTTAAATCGATGGTGATGTTTTAATCAAAGTCGCAGCGAGTAGCAGCTTGTCTGTCATCACCCTCTACTCCTGCTGAGGATTTCTCTCCCGTCCCTTTTTTTAGCGCTGTGCCGAGAGAGAGAGAGGACTGTCCAGCTAGGCAAAGTAGGGTTTGCTCGCTGGCAGGCTGGCTCCCCGACCGAGAGGAAGGTTTGTCGGCTAGCCAACAACTGGAGGTAACACCGAAAGCTTCCCTCCCAAGTTGTGGTAGCGGCTCTCAAGCTCTCCTGTCGCCGGGATAATGGCGAAGATTCAGGCGCACAGCACGGCGAAGCAAATAAACCAAATCCAAGACAAGCCTTACGTTATAACACAAAAGCAAGTGCAGCAGCAGCACTTCCAGAAGCTGAAGGTAAGGAGACAACAACGACAAGGGGAAAAGTCCCTCAGAGTCAGAACCATTTTGTTCGTCGGATCATTGCGTTGGATTTTGAGGCTCTTTCTCTCTCTCTCTCTCACCCTCTCTCCCTCTCTCCCCCCCCGGACGTCGAGAGTAGTGAAAGCATCGGCGGAGCTAGCGTTAGTTAGCTCGCTGGCCTATTAAAAGTAATTCAACCGCTGAAACAGCCGACCGTTGACGGTTGACGGTTACAGAGCCGTTGACGCTGTGTTTCATTAATGAACGTGTGACTGACAGTTGAGTGGTAGTTTTCTTATTGCACGATGTCACAAATAACAGCCCCTCTTCTGTGAGCAAACGTTAACTCAAACCTCGGTTGTGGGAAGTTCCTCTTGTTCGGGTTTTTTTTTTTTTGTTCCTCTCAGCCACCCTGAACAAAGTGGAGGACGTCAGCCAGCCAGCAGGCTAGCCAACAGCGGCTATTTCAGTTGATTAGCAGCTTCATTACACGTTTTCTTTTGTTATCGCAGTGTTTTGAGTGTCGCCGTGTTGTTGGGGTTTTCTGCCAACACGACACCGTTGTGCCAGAGTGACTAAAACGTGTTGTATAAATGTTGTATGTGGGTGTTGTTAAGTGTTTTGTGGAGTTATTATCGTCAGTTGGCTAACGCTAGCTAGAGCAAGCCCCTCTGTAGGATTGTGTTTGTGACAATCGCTTTGTGCGGACACATATTTCATCGTAACCTAACCGAGCCGTGGTTGTTAGGTTGAATAAAGACCAAGCGAGGATCCGGGGAACAAAAGCTGTTTGCTGTTTCTTGTATTCGCCCCTTTATTTATTTATTTATTTATTTATTTATTTATTTAGTGGTTACTTGTACAGCTTGTACCGCTAACTAGTGCATTTGTTGATACAGCACTTCATTTGACAATGGGGGAAGCAAACATTGACTATTTATGGGACTGCACGTCCAAAAATATCCACACACACAGTGTTGAGGAAATAATGCAATACACATTTTCTGGTTTGTTGGTGGCACCATTTTAATTTTTATAGTAGTGCAATTATTAATGAGACAATGGTTGTATAGACTATGGCTTATTAAACATGTTTAAACAGCTTTTTTTCTGTAACATCCTTCTTCCTCAACAACACAACAGGATGTTTGCCATTTACTATCACAGGTCCATGTGAGACTGATTGTACTCGATGCTGCATTCAGGGTTTTTGTTCTTTTCTTCCTCTGTGTTTAGGTTGAAGATGCCTTGTCATATTTGGACCAAGTCAAAATTCGTTTCGCAAACGATCCTGGCATATACAACAAGTTTCTCGACATCATGAAAGAGTTCAAGTCACAGAGGTATTTATGCAAGAAGTTTAGCGATACATTTTTAATGAGTTGATTCTTAATGCCCACTCTGAATGGTGGGGCTTGTGTGTGGACTTTGATTACGTTGCAAAACATAAACACCCAGGGATCAACCACACATTTTAAAGCATTCTCAATAAGTAAGAAAGTGCAGATCCTGCTCGAATCACACAGCAGTTTATGTTCTTCTTCATGTAGCATATGAGAGAGGAAGCTGTCATCCACACCACTAATGTGTTTGTGTCTGCCTGTTGTCTTGAATAGCATCGACACACCGGGGGTGATAAACCGCGTGTCTCAACTCTTCCATGGACACCCAGACCTAGTCTTGGGCTTCAATGCCTTCCTACCACCGGGGTATCGGATAGAGGTCCCCAAAAATGGGGTGGCTTTCCTCCAATCGCCGTTCTCCACACAGGTGAGACACTCTCCTCACAGCAGAAGTAGAAAAATCTGTGCTTTATCTATCTTCAAACCTATTAAACTTTCAGTAGATGCATCGTAACAAACTCGCGGTGTGCTGAAATGTACTGTATGTTTATGCCCACAGAAAATCTTAATTAAGAGGAAACTGGTTCTTGTCGGCTGCTCTGCCTAAAAAAAAAAACAGAACAGAATTGTCAGTTAATTAGATTGGAGTAAAATTCACAATAATGAAGACACGAGGTGATTTATTTTCCTTTTTAACCACTGGAGAGTTATTTGGAAAAAAAACGTTTAAATTATGTTTTAAGATCCCAAATATGCCATGCTAGATTGTACAAATACATTCAGTTGTCATTTTATTAGGAACACCGGGCTAAAACTAATGACTATAAAGTTGAATCAACACCTGTTTAATCAAAAACGGATAGCTGTAACTTAAGTAAGATTTATTGCAGGACTGTTATATTAGACTGTATTAGTTTAGGTTATGTAATGTGACCTTAAGGAGAAAAAAGTCACTCTTGAGGCGAACCAATGTACCAGACTGGGCGACTCGAGGACCAGGGGAGCTGTGCGTCACGTGCAGATTGTTACTTGGCATTTGCATTAAAACCGTGTTGATTTTAGAATTTGTCACTGAATATGGTTGGATGTGTGTTTTTATATCTCTTGTATTGATTTGACATAATAGTGCAGTCTTTTAAAAATATAATCTTAGATGTAAACATTATAAGCATTTATTACAAGAATACAATATGTGATATTACTTAAATAAGGTCGACACAATATAATGCATAATGTTTTCAAACAGCCTGGTTTTTTTAACTTCTTAAAAAAGCTTGTAATTGGCAGACAAACACTGGCTGTATCCAAAAAATGCCATAATGGAATAAAAAAAGTAGCGTCCATAAAAGTTCATACTTTCTGCCAACGATCCTACAATGCAATGAGCCACATCTTATTGATGTGAAAAGACCAGTAATCAGGTTTTTTGGTTACTGAGGGTTGTAGTGTTTCTCTTTTTCCATCCGGTTCCGCCTTAAAGAATTTGCCTTAGTGGTATCACAGAGATACAAAAATTACAGATGTTTGAGTCCTGTAAGTGTCAGAAATCACACTTTACTGCTCACTATAGAATCTATTATATAGGGAGCAGTGAATGAGTGAGTGGGACGGAGAGAGTCGGACACAGACACTGAGACAAGTGTTTCAGTAGCTGAGACATTTTCTAGCATCAGCGTTGTTTTCCTCCAGATTTTAACCACCACCTGAACTGGTATTTACTGGCATTTTTCACCAAACTTTCTTTATTTGACGCAAACGACTTCAATGAACGCACCTCCAATTACCCAGCTCAACCTCTTTCATTTCTCCAGGTATCCCCAGGCCAGCAGGGGAAGAGTCTCACCACCTCTGCAGTGAACACGACCTCAGGTAGTGCCTCTGCCGCCCAAACTGAAGCTGGACCGGCCCAGACCACTGAGGTCAAGGCGGCCTCATCAGAGCCCCCATCTTCCTCAACCCCAGCAGGACCTCCAGAGCCTCCCAGCAGGCTTTCTCTTCCTTTGACAAACAGAGAGAGCCAGAATCAGGCAACCACGTCGTCTGTATCCCCGCCTGCCTCGGAGACGAGCCCCGTAGAGTTTGACAGTGCCATTAGCTACGTAAATAAGATCAAAAACCGTTTTTTGGACCACCCAGAGATCTACCGAGCCTTCCTAGAGATTCTTCACACGTATCAGGTACGGATAAAATGTGGTAATTGAAGTAGCCTTTTAGTTGCATATTTTTTTATATTATAGACAATTTAGTTAATTTAAGTTATTGTGATGTAGTTTAGCGTACATTCCTCATTTTTCACCTTTTTAAAGATTCTTGTTCTTTTAAAGCAGAAGTCTTTTAGTGCTGGTATTCTGAGAATCTGAGTCCTTTCTAAATGGCTTTATGGTATTTTAAATTAAACTAATAAATAAAGCTCATAGTTGAAGTGTTCAGTGTGCAGCATCAAATTTCCACAGCAGTCTGTTCCTTGAGGACAGTGGTGGTGTTTGTGTCTCCTGCACCAAGATTATTGACCATGTGTAGCCAGGCCAAATAATTTAAACTTTGCTCTGCTTTTTTTAAAATTAAGTTTGATTCCTCACGTCTGATCAACATTTACCTCCCTACCCCCCCTCAGAAGGAGCAGCTGGAGGTGAAGGAGAGTCGAGGCAGCAGAGGTAGCAGTGGGATGACAGAAGACGAGGTGTTTTCTAAAGTTGCCAGTCTTTTCAAGGGGCAGGAGGACCTGCTGGCCGAGTTTGGACAATTC